GATTTGATGGTTTTGGCGAACTTATTATATTTTGACGTACTTTTCAGAAAAACTCATTTTTCAGTAACCGGACGTTTTTATTAAATTAAAACAACGGTTTTACTAAAATAAGTAAGGATTTTCATGGTAGCACCCCAAATCAGTTTCGCAAAGTAAAAATGTTTTAGTTTTCAAAGACTTTGCGATTAAATGCGCTACTCTGATTTATCTAGTAAGGTGGGGTGTTACAATTGGTATCAGAGCACGTTTCTGCGTCTCTGATAAGTTTGCAGTCAGATAAGTTTTCAGTTAGAAAAGTTTTCAGTCCGAAATTTTTCAAAAAAACCCGAACCGTCATGTTCACGCCCCGCCGACGACAGGTAAGTGCTGTTGCAATTTAGTTTTTCAGTTATTATAAACATATTACTTTGTCTATGCTCAGAATTGAGGATCAGAACTTTAGTTATGATGCTCGAATCAGATTCAGACTCTAGAGGTTGGACATGACTCTAGAATTCAGGCATTCAGATATGACTCTAGACGTTAGGATTTTTCTGAGACGACTCTAGAGTTCTTCAGGTTTCACGTCAGTAATTATCGGCCAATTTTGGCAACTCGTCAAGAGATCTGTGTGCCTAGTAATCAGTCAGTAAGGCTATCATGTAATATTCAGTAATGTAAATCTTTCTTAATGTTCAGATGCCGCCACGTAGAGAGCCCGATCATCAGGGTCCTACTCAGGCTACAGTAGTCGCCCAATTCCGCGACTATCATGCAGAGAAGTTCTCAGGTCAGGGCGACCCCCGTATCGTTGATGAATGGATTCAGGGGTTGGAGTTTATCTTCGAAGTTATGGAATGCCCCGATAGATATCGCGTAGTTTGCGCTCAGCTTCAGCTCACTGGCGATGCGAGGCTCTGGTGGAACGCCTACTGGAGCATGCGTCCCGGTGAAAAAGCGGGTTGTACATGGGACATGTTCAAGGATCTGGTCCGTGACAAGTACTACCCTTCATATTATCGGGCAGAGATGGAGCGCCAGTTCTTAGCGCTTCAGCAGGGCACTCGTACTGTCGATGAGTACGAGCGTGAGTTCACCAGACTTGCAGGTTTCGCACCGGATCTTGTTCGCACGGAGGCCCAGAGAGCTCAGAGGTTCATTGACGGACTATACCCAGCAGTCCGTCATAACATCGTGGGACACGGGACTCAGACGTATGCACGAGCCGTCTCTATCGCCCAGGAGGTTGACGCTAGCATTAGGAGGGAGGCCGTCCGTGATCATGCTCAGCCATCTGCCCCAGCTCAGCCAGTCGCAGTTCCACCAGCTTTTCCAGCTACCCAGCCGCCAAAGAACAACAAAAGGAAAGGAAAGGGTGCCCCGGCAGATAAGAGGACCCGACGGAGGCTGCAGGAGATTCCACCATGCCCGACTTGTGGTCGACTTCACAGGGGAGAGTGTCGTGCTGGACAGGACATTTGTTACTTCTGCCAAGAGCCGAGACACTTTGCGAGTCGATACCCGAAGAAGCTTCAGCAGCAGCCTCAGCAGCCACAGCAGCGGCAGCCACGACAGCAGGCACAGAGACCGCAGCAGCAGCAGCAGCAACAGCAGAGGGGCCGGCAGCAGGCCAGGGTCTACGCAGTCGATCAGGCGGAGGCAGCACAGCAACCATGTACTATGTCCGGGATGGTTGTTCTCAATGATATTCCTGTGTTTGCATTATTCGATACCGGAGCAACGCACACTTTTATCTCACGACGGTGTCTCGACGCCATCGGAGTTCGTGCCGTTACCGCTGTCGATCATCTCGAGGTGAGTCTAGCCTCGGGACGAAAGATAGTGACTTCAGCCAAAGCTACAGATCTTAGCCTTTCCATCGGGGGCCGAATATTGACTGTCGACGCTTTTGTTCTCGAGATGAAGGATTTCGATCTTATTCTCGGGATGGATTGGCTATCTTTCTATCATGCTGACATCAGGTGCCATGACCGGGAGATTACCCTCTATCTTCCGGAGGACGAGTCGATTACTTTCTTCGGCTCCAAGAACCGTTCACTGCCTCAGGTTGTTTCGATGGCGAAAGCCACTAAGTTATTGCGACGAGGCAACTGCCAGGGTTACCTGGTAAGCCTTGTTGAGGATTCTCAGAAAGCGCGGACACCTCATGATGTTCTTATCGTTCGCGAGTTTGTTGACGTCTTCCCAGACGAGCTTCCAGGAGGACCGCCCAACCGTCAAGTGGAGTTTTCCATTGATCTTATCCCAGGGGCCGGTCCAGTGTCCAAAGCCCCATACCGCATGGCGCCTAAAGAGTTACAGGAGCTTAAGACTCAGATCCAGGAGCTGTTGCGACTCGGTTTTATCCGACCGAGTGTGTCACCATGGGGAGCACCCGTTCTCTTTGTTAAGAAGAAGGACGGATCTATGCGTATGTGTATCGACTACCGGGATCTCAACCGGTTGACAATCAAGAATAAATATCCGCTTCCCAGGATCGACGACTTATTCGACCAGTTGAGGGGAGCCTGTGTGTTCTCGAAGATCG